ATCGGCCATCAAGCACTTTAGCTCTGTTCTCTTGCCAACTTAGTTACGGGGCTCTCTGTCTGTCGTTCACACTCAGCACACGCAGTCTTAGAGAAAATGCACTAATGGGAGCCAATGCAAGGACCAGGATTTTCTTAAGGCAAGACTAAAGACGTCAGATCTGCCGTAGTTCGAAGACGCTAGACGGTCTTTTGATGGCTGAATGAGGAATAGAAATATTTGCACGAGATCTTGCAATTAACGGACACTCTATTATTTGTCTGCCCCTCAAACGGACTACTCGGCAAATACGCCGGACCACCACGGGGGCTAGATCGGGATCCCGCAGGTGTTATTGGGAATGCGCTCCCATAGCAAATGCCAACATTGGGCACGTAGTAGCACGCTAGGGTGCAGGCCCACGCCGCGCCAGTTGGGACCCGAGCCGTCTCCTTCTTTTCTTGGGGTACAATTATGTCCGGTGTAGGCTGCGAAGCAGGCGCTGTGGTGGTTCGCGTAGCTGCGGGTTGTCGCCATGTCAGCCACCTGCGTGCTTTCCCCCCTCCGGTCTTCTTCACTCTGCCCTAACACGGGATCCAGGTTGGGGAGGAGAGAGTGCGGTGGGTGCTGCGCAAATCTACTATAAACTATGTGACGCGCAAGTCAGCGTCCCTGCTATCACCCTGCTGCGGAGCTGTTGTATTTCATGGTCACATAGTCTGCCACAGTGCGAATTGTTTTAAGCACTGGGTGTGCGCACATCAGCACTCACCCACTGCAAGCACCCAACTGCCACCTCCCACGCAAGTGGGAAGTGTGCATCTCGACCCGGTCCCTTGCGGCTTCTGATGCACGGGCGACTTGAGTCTGAGACTATTCCGACACGTCAAGCGTCGTGGATAGGAAGGCTGCTGATTGACGCCCCCACTCGGTCCAGGCAGTCTGTCCCGTTGTGTGCGTGTTGTGTGGAGTGGCAGACTGGTGGCCTGGGAGACAGGCTGAAACAGCACCTTCCACGGCCCCCTCACGCAAGGGAGAGATCCGTCGTTCAAGCCCCGTTGAGCGAAATCCTGGTGTGTGTCTGGGGGGCCAGGTCGTGCACGTGGCGCGCGCAGTCATGGTCACTCGACCAGGGCAGCCACCGCGCCCATTCCCCACTCCAGTCTGCTGACCGGCCCGGACTGTGGCTAGGGCGTGGAAAAGGGAAGGGAGAGTGAGGTCGACGACTCAGCGCACTTTACTGCTCACTATAAACAATCTGACGCACTTGAAGCTATCACGGTGCGCTAAAAGCCGTGGCTTGAAGGTTGCCAACTGACGGGATAACTTGGACCTCGACTGGAGGTCTGAGAGTCAGGCTGCAATGGCCCCTTTTTAATGTGGCCTTTATGGCACTCCCATCACAGTGTGGGATCCGAGCCAGGCGTTGGCGGCACGCCCAGGTGCGGCTTCGGCCGTGCCAGCCTCCAATCTCGGTTGTGTTGGTTGAAATCCTGGTTATTTGTTGTGTGGACCAGGGGGTGTGGTGGAACGCCAAGGTGCGGGCTCGACCGTACCATCCACCTGCGACCTCCTTCATCTCCGGTCTTCTTGACTCTGTCTTGACACCAGGCTCAGGCGGGGAAGTAGGAGGGAGTGTGATAGATGCATCGCAAGTCCACTAGCACTATAAAACCCTGCGCAAGTCTCCGTCCCTGCTCCCATCACTGCTGTGGGGCACACGGTGGACATCGTCGAAGTCGACGGTGGAATGTTCGGGTGTACGCAAGGGACATAGTTACAGCGATAAAGATAATCGGAAGTGAATAAATGGGAAAATGTTGACCCATTGCACGAATTATCTAGATATGGGAAAAGGACGAATTACAAGCGGCTGAGTGTTTCTAACTGGATTGAAAACTAGTCAATTATAGCAGGGAGCAAGTGAAAACAAAACCGAAGTACTCTGAGGCATTTTGATTTCACGGAAAATAAAGAAACCGCGTTCTCACAATGTACTTAACGAAAGTAATGCGTCATTTGAACGCAAGGTTAGCGAATTTCAGTTTTGAACCATTGGACAAAGAAAACTTACATTCCAATCTACGGCACCACTAAGAAGAAAACTGACCTCTTTTGTGTTTTTTTGAATTGCTGCCGAAGAACATATATATACTGTTGAGGCTGCGTTATAGTGTGAGCTTTTACGATTTACTTTTTGAGAAGAGAAGGAATTTGCTATTTTTTCAGTGCCAGGACTGTTCATGCTACTTGCTACCACGAACATTCTACCAAGCGCAGGGGACAATTTCGTCACGTCAGTGGACATTTTTGCGCAGTTGAAGTCCAGTGATTCAAATTCTTCTATTTTTCCCACAGTTTTTTTACCGGAAATATGTCGTATGCCACAATTTCGAATCGTGAGGAGTATTAAAATACAGGTTAAAGGAGAGGAATTGAAGTCCCCCGTAAAACGGGTGGCCTTCAGTTAAATTCCAGGAAGGATGCCGATTCCAGTGTCTTAGCCTCAACATTAACCCTAACCTGAATCATAATTCTAAACCTAACCCCCACCCTTACCCTGACCCTTCACTTAACTCCAACTCTAATCTCTCTGGAATTTCACACGAGGCCACCTGTGTTACGAGGGGATCCCCATAACCCCGTCCTACCAATCATGGCTCACGATATACAAGAGCATAGGTAGAGGACATTTATAAATTTCTAAGACATGTTTTTCTGCACAGCTTAGGCTTCATCACAGACCTACCTTAATTATCATTATCACCCATCCATACACCAGTAACCCCACTTGACACTTGAAATTTGGATAACAGTCATTTTGGTACCAGACACTTTGTGAGTCAGGCAATCTACTAAGCTAACTATAGGCCCACGTCCTGTCGGTCACGAACGGGAATATGCAAAGTCGGCGAGGGTCTATATATCTTGACTTCATGATGAAAACGGATGTTTTCTTTTCGGCTTGGAGCTCCGGACGTAGGACCTTCGCAGAAGACGACTGAATTTGCTTAATCTCGAGTTGTTTTGATAATCGCAAAAGAATGTAGCACGATATGCGTTCGGGATGCCGTAAACATTGTCAGATTAAGAAACGGAAAGGAAGCATTTATAGCGCGAAATAACTCCTGGCTGCGTTACGCTCTCAGTTAAGGCCAATACCCAAATAAAATGTGATAGGAATTTCTCATGATTACGACAGAGATGCATACTGAAGAGGAAAGGACTAGTGTCATTCTTCGAAACCCTTGAGTCAGGTACAATGGAAAAGTAATTGTTTTAAGGCTCCTGTTCACTCAAGTTATTTGGCCAGGTAGAAAATGGCAGTTCTCGAAGACAACAATATGCGGGAGAGGCTACAACACGAGGATAGTCAAAGTTGTCTGAGTCACCATACAGACAGCACAGGTACCAGCTCACTGAACTTTTAACCAGTACCTATGATGCCGGCATGCTGAATCATGTAACATTTGTACACTACTGACTGCCAGTTGACAACTTGTGAATATCACTCAATTATCCCCCTTGAAGTTGATTGACTTCAGGCTATATTTTCATATCAGACTTAAGACTGAGTCTGAAAAGACATGTCCCGAAGGATTTGCCTCAGTTAACGCATAAAGTTCCACGGGAATTACAAAAGCCGAGTTAGCCAAGTATTCAGTAAAGAAAGAAGAGGATTACAACGCGGAGAGCCCAGGATGGTTGGCTGTCTATTGTCGAACTCGAAAGTCTTGATTTACGATAGGGTAGTAGGTGAGCTGTCAGGCTGCTCTGGGTCTACGTAGCAGAGAAAACGCGCATGCGCGCCTACCTAGCGCTGTCACCATCTTATTGCGCGGTTCGTGCACCCCTGGTGAATGCTAGTGCCACCAGGTTGGCCTCGATGTAGGACGCGAACGCACATGCGCTATCTCACGCTACTTCACTAAACTGCGAGCTCCCTTTTGATGTCGAAGCCCCGGTCCACTGCAGTTTTGCGCACGCCAGCATACGGAAACCGGTCAGCAATCAGGTTACGAACTGCTGATACAAACCAATGTATGCGATGAATGTGGGAGCTCCTAATCTGTTGCTGTCTCTGATGGTGGGCTTGATTGTGAAGTCTAAGTGTCAGGCGAGTGCAGTTTTTGTTCCAGCAGTGAGGTTTCCTTTTCTCAGATCAAAAACCACCAAATCAGAACAAATTTTGAAGCTACAGATCACTCAGTCTCTCAGACTACTCCTCTTCAGAGTGAAGAAGGACTGGAATTTTTGGTGAACTAGAAATGGTACCGAATGGCTAGGTTCCAGCAGCCCCAGGTCGTTTTGGTTAACCGCCGCATTTTCTGAGGGCGCGCGGGAATCTTTAAAGTCGCGCCGGGTCAGCTTTGTTCAACTGACTGAATTACCAGCCCAGAAGCGATGCACAGAACTGCACGAAAAAGTGTATGCATTTAATCTAACCAAAATTGTAACATTACCATCCGAGCTAGAAAAACCGCTGTAAATGATCTGGTTCACAACATGCCAACGAAAATCCTGAAATACGTTTTCGATCAAAAAGGATTACTCAAGCATTGTTTCGACATTGATTATCGTGCACACTTATCACTTGCGCAGGAGGTGGCAGCTGGGGGCCTGTAGTGGGTGATGTTGATGTGCGGTGAGATGTTGGTTGAGGAAGATGTGATGGTGTGGAGCATCCGGCGGTTGTCTACTGCAGATTTTCGTGGACGCGCATATGGCCGAAGAGACCCATGCGGTGAACAAGTGTGCGAGTTCAATGTGGGCAGTGGAGGCGGATGCGGCGAGTGTAAATTGGTGCTCCAGGTACTGACTCGCCATTCTCTGTGCGATGGATTCGCAGGTGACCGACCAGGCCTATGCGTGAGGTGAGTGTACGGGGACTGTGGAGACATGAGAATTCGGCAGTGCAACATCAGCTTGGGTGATGGAGATCGTGGAGATGGTGGTGGTGGGCGCGCTTTGCGGCGAATCGTGGGTGGGGCTAGGCATGGTGTGTGTGTGTGCTGGATGTGCTAGGTGTGTCGGGGCTGCCGTCCATTCCGCTCTCGTGGATACACATGTGGCCGAATAGGCCCATACTGTGCATGCATGTGCGAGGGCAGTGTGGACAGTGAAGGCAGATGCGGCGAGTGTGTTGGTGCTCTAGCCACTGGTCCGCCAGTCGCTGTGCGACGGATTCGCAAGTGACCGATCAGGCCGATGTGTGAGGTGAAGATGCGATCGCAATGAGGATAGGTATAAACCAGGTCCTCATCACTAGTGTTAACAGTGACGATGTTGGTGTTTGCTGGTGTGTCAGGATTGTGTGTAGTGTTGATGGGCATGGCAGATTCCACAGTGGCAGACGTTGAGGAGGAGGAGGATGATGATGATGGTAGTGGTGGTGGTTCGAGAGAGCGGACAACGTTTGTTGACGCTAAGGGAGGCGAGGAAGAAGTGGGCGGAGAGAGGACGGTTGGTGCAGTCTGGGTGCTGCAGTTGATCCGGAGATGTCCAACAAGTCCACTGGGCGCCCGAAACGTCCGTTGACATCGTGGACGCGTAAGAGGCGATTGGGTGTTGGCGTCGTGAGGCGTGGCGGCAGGTGAGATTTGCATGTCCCAGAGTTGGCTTTGGCGGCGGTGATGTGGTTGGCTTCGGAGATTGCTGCGCCTGTCTTCACTGTTCTCCTCCACGTAGGGCGGTCCCGGGTGAGGCCTTCCCAGTTCGCCGGGTTGATCTGCAGGAGGTTCAGAGAGGTTTTCAGAGTATGCTTGTAGCGCCGGACTTGACCTCCTTGTCGGCGTGAACACGTCGCGACATCTCCATAAGAGGGTCGTTTGGGTAGTCTCTCGTCATCCATCCGTACGACGTGGCCGCTCCAGCGGAGTTGTACTTGTCTCAGCATAGCGTAGATGCTGAGGATTCCCGTCCGCCCCAGTACGTTCATGTCTGGGATCCGGTCCTGTCACCTCAGCCTAGGTGTTCGACGAAGACAACTGAGGAATAAGTGGTTGAGTCTACATTTCTGCTTCATGTAAACTGTCCGGATCCCTGATTCATACAGCAACGTCGATAGGATGACGACTTTGCACATCTTCGGATTTTTGCCGAGTTCAAGACCGTGACAATTCAAACTGTGTTTTGAAGGCGACCGAAGGCTTGACTAGACTTGGCAATCCGGCGAGACACGTCGTCGTCGATTTTGGTGCTGCTGGAGAGGGTGCTGCCCAGATACGTGAAGTTGTCCAACACTTGCAATTGGGTTCCGTTCACCCTGATTTGCTGCGCGTTGTGGGGAGCTGTGTTGGGTGGTGGTTGGTGCATGACCACCGTCTTCTCCGTGCTGATGATCAGGCCGAATTTGGTCACTGTTAATGCCTCCGAGACAGTTCCATTGTCCGTGACGCGCGCAATCATGTCGTCGTGGAGCTGACGCACCATCTGAGAGAATTGCTCGGGACAGCCGAATTTCTGCATGATTTCCCACAATTTTTCATTATTCACAGTATCGAAGGCTTTTGTCAAATCCACGAAAGCAGAGTAGAGACGGATCCGCACGTCTTGACACTTCTTCTGCAGCTGGCCGGCACCAAAGATCATGTCGGTGGTTCCACGATGACGGCGGAAGCCAAACTGGCTTCCTGACAGGAGACCTTTTTCCATATGGTGGTTCAGGCGGCTGGGAAGGATTCAAGCGAAGACTTTACCGGCGATGTTCACCAAGCAGATGCCTCAATGGTTGTTACAGAGCTGACGGTTACCTTTCCGCTTGTATAGATGCACGATTGTGGCGTCTTTGAAACCCTGCGGAACTTCTCCTTCACGCAACATCTCCCGGGAGAGCGCCGTCAGATGATCCATGAGCTGGGCGCAACCGTACCTGTAGATCTCAGCAGGAGTCGCGTCCGATCCGGATGCTTTATCTCTGGAGAACTGCTGCACGGCCTTGATCGTTTCGTGGAGAGAGAGCGGGTGGTCGAGGTTGCCATTGGTCTCCACTTGAGGCAGACGGACAGTGGCGGCGTCGTAGATGGTGGAGGGACTGTTGAGGACGCCTTGGAAGTGCTCAGCCCATCGCTGAAGAATTTGTGTCTTCTCGGTGAGAAGGGCACTGCTGTCGGCGCTAAGAAGAGGAGCAGGTGCTTTGGTTGGCGGACCGTAGAAAGCCTTGTTCGCTGAGAAGAAGTTCATCCTTTCGTTGCGGTCCACGTCCCCTTGAATCTCCTTGACCTTGCGAGCCGTTCAGACGTCCTGCATCTCGCGCAGCTGCAGGAGGCTGTTGACGAAACCGCACTTTGGAGATAAAGAGACGATGGTCGATCCACCCGTCGGCTCCCTGAATCGCCTTTGTCACCAGCACGTCCTGCTGGTCTCGCCTCTGGACGAGGACATAGTCCAGCAGGTGCCGATAGCGCGACCGAGGATGCATCTATGTGGCCTTCTCTCACATCGGGAGGCGGAAGCAGGTGTTGGTTCGGATGAGCCGATGTTCTGCGCAGGTTCGTAGAGGAGCTGGCCATTGTCGTTGGAGTCGCTGAGAACATGGGGACCCAGCACTCCTCCTCAGGCAGCATGGTCTGTGCCGACGCGGGCGTTGAAGTCACAAAGAACAATCAACTTATCCGTCTTCGCCACCGACTCCAGGAGTGCATGAAAATCCTCGTGGAATTTGTTCCTCACCTCGTCGGGGCTGGTCATCCGGGCAGCGTAGACACTAATGATGGTGGCGAGTTTGCCTCCCTGGAGAGACAGACGGAGGCTCATTAGGCGATCGTTGATACCCTACGACAGACAGGGCACTTGTCCCACGATGTCATTCCGGATGGCAAAGGAGACGTCCGCGCCCCGTTGCCCTGCTTTGAGGTGACCGCTCCAGAAGAAGGTGTAGCCAGCACCCACCTCCTCCAGTTGGCCTTGTCCGGAGAAGTGGGTCTTACTGAGTACAGCAATGTCCACCTGGTAGTGCACCAGTTCCCGAGCCACTAGCGCCGTCCTCCGTTCCGGTCGGTTGCTTCTTGGATTGTCAAAAAAGGGACGAACATTCAAGGCTGCCAGGGTGAGCGGACTCACCCTACCAGTCTGGCGAGCAGGGCGGTGGGGAGGGGGAGGGGAAGGAGCGAGAGTGTTGTTTCTGGTTTGATTGCTTCGACCGTGAGTTTTGCATCTGCGGCCACAGTCAGCCTGCAGACGGTGTGGATCTCCGGCATTTGCTTAAGTTACTTTTTCTAACTCCTTCCCCTTCGCGGGGGGGAGCAATGCTCTCCTTATATAGGGCTGCTCAGTTGTGTCAGACGGCTGCCGAACCCGACTATGAGCCACAACTTTGTTTAATGTAAGAACGACGGGAGTTAGCCTGGGTCTGCCTACGACATCGCCTTAGGGCGGTCAGGGGAGAGAGGGGGAAGGGGGGATGGATGAAGGGTAAAGAGACAAGAAGCAGTTTCCCCTCCCTCTCTAAGCTAACTGGTTGCTGAAATACAATTAGCTAGTAGACAAATTCGACAGAACGACATTTGGTTTACAGTAAGGACGTACTCAAAGAAGCAGACAAGAACAGAAAAAAGCAAATGCGACAGAGGAAATTCACCATAGCGGCATTTGGTTTTCAACAAGGACAAACACAAACAAGCAGACAGAGAGCAAGCAAACAATAGCAAGCGGAAGCAGAGGCAGCAGAGCAAAGTTTGCTTACCTGGGGGCTCACTTACCTTGTGGCCTCCTACGGTGTTCCAGACGGAACCCCATCTTGGAGATGCCGATGCGGTGATCTATCCGGCCATGGGAGCCGAGATTACTGTGTGCGGAGATGCCCACACGGATACGCTCACCTGGTTTAGCCCGCCGGTCGAGGCGGTTGCCGAGGTGTGGCCACTAGGCAGAGCCTAGCTTCGGGGAGCCACATGTGAGAGTTGGGTACTAATTAATGGACGCTAGGCGTAGTCAAGGCCTGCAAGCAAGTGAGCGACCTACTACGACCATCACGTGGGCCAACAACCGGATACCCCTACAGACCTCCCCACACGCACGACACTTCAACCGTCGGTTTCGACATTGTCCACCGTGTGCTACTCAGCAAGGTGCAGCAGATAAGGCGACTTGCACCTGAATCAGTTTAAACTGATAGTAGCCTTGCGCAGCATCAACCGTACCCTCTATTCCCACCTGGACCCCATGTCAAGACAGAGCCAAGAAGACCGGCGGCGGGCGAGGGCGCAGGTGGCTGGCACGGCCGGTTCCGCGCCTAGGCGCGCCACCACACTCCCTGGTCCACAACACACACTTTACCAGGATTTTAATCAGCAATGTCAAAGGAATGGAAGCTGGCACGCCGAGGCCGTACCAAGGCCTGCCGTCACACCAAACTCGGATCCCACGGAGTGGGAGTGCTATAAAGGCCACATTAAGAAGGAGCCATTGCAGTCTGACTTGTAGACCACCAGCCGGCCACTCCACACAAACACAACACTGGGCCAACTGCGAGGTCCAAGTTATTCCGTCAGCTGGCAACCTTCCGAGTCACGGCTTTTAGCGCACTGTGATATCTTCAAGCGCATCAGTTTGTTTATTGTGAGGAAAGTGCGCTGAGTCATCGACCTCACTCTCCCTTCCAAGTTCCAGGCCCATGTTACTGTCCGATCCGGTCAGTTAAAAGGTGCGGTGAATGGGCGCGGTGGCTAGCATATTTAGCGACCTTGTCTGCGCGCGCCAAACGCACGACCTGGCCCCTCGAACACAAGCAGCAAGATTTCACACAACGGGGGTGGGCGGCGTGCATGTCACATACGTGAGATTGCTGCAACAACATTCAGGAAGGAGTCCCAACTGCCTGGCTCTCCGCCCATCAGTCTGCCATTCCACATAAGACATACAACTGGGCAGTCTGCGTGGACTGAGTTGGGGCGTCAATCAGCAGTCTTCCGAACCACAGCGCTTGACGCGCCGTGATATCCGTTTGAGGCTAACATACGACAGTTCAATCGTCATTTCTGACGATGTCCACTGTGCAATCCACAACAAGGTGAAACAAGCGTGCTGACTTATGCGTGAATTAGTTCATAGTGAAAGTGAACTTGCGTTGCATCTACCACACTCCCTTCTCCTCCCCCACCTGGGCCCGGTGTCAAGACAGAGTCAAAAAAACCGGGAGGGGGGGGCGCCGGTGGATGGCACCGTCGAGCCCGCACCTTGGTGCTCCACTCCACACCCTCAAGTTCACACAGCAAAGGACCAATATTTTAACCAGTGTAGCGGCTAAGCAATGATGGTGTATGCTCAGTGCACCACAACTTCAGGCCATATCCCAAGTTGTAAGAAGCGGGACGCCAGTTAGGTGGATTGTATTCTGTACAGAAAGATAGGGGATAGTTGGCAACCGGACGAGGGTGCGTCCGGCACCGCGGAGGTGGCGTCCGCGTGAGCGACGAGCCGTGTGTTGCCGAAGGTCGCCGCTGCAGAGGTGTCGTGGCAGATTGTTTACGCCAGTGGTCTGAACTGTGTCCACCTGTGCTAAACCAATAAGCTAAGGGAGTTGTGTTGATTGGCTCCGAGCCCACGCGAGGGTAGTGCCAAGCCTCGCATGGTGCAGACAGAGAATCGACCAGATGCGTGGAGCAGACAGTGAACTGCAACGAGACAAATCGAAGCCGGGCAGACGTGCGTGCCATAGTGGGCTATCGCTAGGGCGTAGGTGCCGGCGCTAGCGAGAGACGCGACGTTGCCATTATGGCTGTCTACAACACCGGCAACAACAATGGAGGACGGCAGAAGTCCCAATGTGCGCGACCTATTCCGGTAACTGGGTCTGCCACCGCACCCAGAAATGTTGTCATTTGGTATGGTATGCATACCGATAACGCCTGCCAGAATCCGATATGACCACCGTGTTCGTCCAGTGCATCAACCACGTGGCCCCTTTGGGGGACACACACGCACAAATTTATTCTGTGAAAATAAACACAGTGGTAATAGTCAGCTGTTTTAGCCTGCCGACTAGAGCGGTTTATAGAGTGGGGCGAACGAGAGTTTTCGTGTCAGGTGCGGGTCAAATAGAAAGGGTCATTTCGTGTGGCAAGGTGCCCCGCTCTCACTACCCGGATAGTACACAGGCCCAACAGGTACAATCAAGACCTGGTAAGGCTGGCATCCTGTTTTGAATGAAGTTCATGTACGTGCTTACATAACGAAAAGGATAGGTCAGTGCGCCAATGTGAACGCCTCCTAGGCCTAGACGGGTGCGTTCAACGGAGACTTAAGCAGGTGGTCTGGTGCTGAAGGCATAAAATGCTTGGCAAAGCTAACTGGTGGAATTATTAAAACAGAAAAGAAGATGCCAGTAAGGATGACGGAAAAGACGAGGATGCCGGGCGCGAAGCCAAGCATCTTGAACTATAGGAATGACTCAAAATCAGCGAAATGAATCGGGATAGTAATAAGCTGGAGTTCACGAAAGGCTGAGATAATATTTTCCTGTCAGTTTGTCTGGTTTAACTGGCTCAATCCGATGGAACTCTGCAGTTAATCGACCAAAGAGATAAGGCAAAAATGACAAGTCGAAATGTCATTTTGAAGTCTTGCAAACTTCCAGGTTGTCCACTTTTTGGTCGTCTGTGACTCTGGACTTTCATGGTTTAGTACGCCATTCAGGACGCTTGCATTGACGACAGGTACGAAAGACCCAGCATCCATCTAACTTATGTGCGAGGTATAGCGGAGTTTAAATTGGATTAAAGAACGCTTCCAAACACGAAAATCAGATCCAAAAAGGAACAAACAACATGCATTATGCGACCTAACTCACGAAACCTGATGACGGAACTTGAGATGAGAATTTTCAGACACTTTAAACGTTGCGCATTTTGATCGCTCGCCCAGTTCCTGCAGGTAAATGTACTTTTCTCGTGAAGATAACGAGCTTAAGCAATTTTATCAGGCAAAGTGTTCATAAGTTTGTGCGAATATGGGCGCTGCGATATATTCGAGCAATTTTCTATGCTAACATTTGCATGAAGTATTCAGCGATATTTCAAGGTCGATCTGAAACTCAACGAAATCCAGAATAAAATAAAAGTGCAAGTTGATTTCTGCCTTGTTTAGTCAGTCTTTTGCATGGACAGGCTTTCTGTGCATCCAGGCGTGAAGTTGACTCAGTTACAAGCATTTCTGGCGTCTTCGGAATTTCTCACTTTTCAAAGACTGGCATTTCTAAACAATGCAATATTACCTTCACTATTTTCTTTATTTTTTAATTCCCTTAAAAATGTTCTTTATTAATAAAGATACAGGGTACATGCATTTGTGCAGGTTTGTAAGTGATTAGCAATCATAAGTAGATGTCGACATCCTTCATCAGTTAGATCGCCTACTGAAGGCAAGTGATGGGATGCGACAAAATGATAAGAACATGTATGTTTCCAAATATGAGAATCAGGCCTCGCAAGGGAACACAGTCCGTTTTACCATTGCTGTCGTGGACAGACGCAAGAGCCGGAAATATCTGGTCTCCTAGAAACCACGCAGTAGTTCGTTCATCGCAATCGATGGGGACCATCACTATTCTGGATAGAGTGCAAGCTCGTGGCTTGCTCGTGAAATTATTTATGACATTTCGACCATCGGTTTCGATGATGTCCACCGTGTGCCCCACAGTTGCAGCAGCAATGGGAGCAGGGACGGTGACTTACGCAGGGGTGTATAGTGCCGGTAGACTTGCGTAGCATCTACCTACACTCTCTCCTCCTCCCTCGCCCGAGCCCGGTGTCAAGACAGAGTCAAGAAGACCGGAGACGAGGGAGGCCGCAGGTGGATGGCTCGGACGGATCCTCGCCTTGGCGTTCCACCACGCCCCCTGGTCCGCACAACAAATAACCAGGACTTCAACCAACACAAGAGAGATTTGGAGGCTGGCACGGCCGAAGCCGCACCTGGGCGTGCCGCCAACGCCTGGCTCGGATCCCACACTGTGATGGGAGTGCCATAAAGGCCACATTAAAAAGGAGCCATTGCAGCCTGACTCTCAGACCGCCTCCAGTCAAGGAGGAGGTCCAAGTTACCCCGTCAGTTGGCAACCTTCCAAGCCACGGCTTTTAGCGCACCGTGATAGCTTCAAGCGCGTCAGATTGTTTATAGTGAGGAGAAAGTGCGCTGAGTCGTCGACCTCACTCTCCCTTCCCACTCCCACACCCCAGCCGCTGTCCGAGCCGGTCAGCAGACTGGAATGGGGAATGGGCGCGGTGGCTGTCATGGTCGAATGACCATGACTGCGCGCGCCACGGCACGACCTGGCCCCCCATACACACGACACCAGGATTTCACACAACGGGGGTTGAACGGCGTGTCTCTCACTTGCGTGAGAGTGCCGTGGAAGGTGCTGTTTCAGCCCGTTCCCAGCCTACCAGTCCGCCACTCCACACAACACACACACAGAACGCGACGAACTGCGTGAACTGAGAGCGGGCGTCAATCAGCCGCCTTCCTATCCACGACGCTTGACGTGTCGGGATAATCTCGGACTCAAGTCACCCGTGCAGTCGAAGCCGCATGGGGACCGAGTCGAGCTGCGGACTTCCCACTTGCGTGGGAGGTGGCAGTTGGGTGCATGAGGTGTGTGAGGGTCGATGTCTGGTGGGGTGATGGTGGTGGTGGAGGAGGTAGGGAGTGAGTGAATGTGTGGTGTGGCCGGCGGTTGTCTACCGCAGGTCGTCGTGGATGCGCATGTGGCATCTACCCCACTATATCTTTTCAAATCTATGGGATTACAGAGTCGAGACGAGCGGAAGTGGGTTTGAATGCATTGACTGACAATGCTAAACAGCTCGACCTCGCATGCCACACACGATTTCGTTCCTGACTACAAACCTACCAGACTTCGCCAAGGGAGCCTTCGAACTCACGCAAGTGAGAATGCCACAAGGACTACGTTGAGGATTAGTCATTGCAGTCTGAAAACCAGTTCCGTGTGGGGCCTAGTAATACCGCAGGTGGCATATGTGAGGACGCCGTGATGGCTTCAAAGAACAATCGCTTGTTTATGGTGAGGAAATTAATGAGCTGAATCGGCGCTAGAAAGTTTACTCGGGGTCCGCTTCGCTCTCTTTTCCGTTCCTCTTCATGCACCAGTGTTAATTCAAAGTCAAGATGACTTTAAGTGACATTTATGCAACGGCTCATGTAGAGGAGTGCTTAGGTTTAACGCATGCGACAGCAGGTTTGGCCTCAGTTTTGCCCCAAAACGACGATGCAGCCCTCAGAGAGGATTCTTTTTTGATTAAAAATTTTTTTTAGATGGGATCTGTCGATTGTCCTAAATAGTGGTTACCCGGAGGCCTACGGACTTCAGATAGTGGAAAGGTCATCGGTAAAGGTTAGACGGTCGCACGGGTGTAGACAGGTGTGCACACAAACATTGTAGCCAAAACTCCATTTTCCTCAGTTTACTACTGGGGACTACTCAATGCTGTAAATATGCCCATGTAAGATTGTTTGCCTTTTGGTAATCGAAGTTTCAACCCGCTTCATATGAACAAACTGCTGATGGCAATATCCACTCTAGTAGATTTAACCTGCTTAAGGTGTCGTCAGTACCTACTTTGAATAAACAAAATAAGCGGCTAGAAGTAGTTGCTTCTGAAGATCTGAGTTTTCGAATAGGTTCGTTTCCTGAAAATTGGAACTCAAACTGCCCATACCAAATGCACAAGAAAGTGAAGCCCATAGACACGTTAATCAAACCTCCTTAAGCATACAGCACCACTGTTGCTTTGGATCCAAACAGGGCTCATGTTGGTGCACTTAGCATGTGTTAGGTAGGCAGCAGTGGGTCTGCGTTAATGCTTATCTACTGCTGCATATGCGAATGTTGCGCGTTAGACGGAAATTGACTCCATGTCATTCCCTACGACCCATTTAATCACCTGTCTGTAGGAAGGCCACTAAAGGACACCGGTATATAAGAGACGAAAGGCCACGGCTTATAATGAGGCGTCATATCTCATTGTACTTGGGGGCATTAGTCATTGCTAAAAATTCGAACGACTGGAATTACCACGAAGAGTTAAAATAGTATCTAAAGGGTTGCCAGCTAACCGTGCGATTTGGTCTTTCTTTGAAACGCGGAACAAACTGTAGTGTCTCATTACTGTGGTCTTTATGGCGCTCAAACTAACACGTGACTCGAAAAGGCCCCTGCTGACGCCTGGTGTATGTAAAGAATCAGATTACGAGTGACAAGAATAGATGGACACAACGTCCATGTCCATCCCCGATAGTCTAACTTCAACTTTATCAGTGGAAAATTGTAGTATGGGAGGAGTGAGTTTCGTAGGTCAAGCGCAAGTCGATTTCTATAAAAACAATTGCAAGCCAAATACTCTATCAAGTCCACCTCGGAGAATGATGGTCCAACTCTCCAGCGATAAGGGAAATAACACTGTTAGAATAATTCATGTTGCCCAACTGTGAAAAACTCGGCGCCTCGGTGGGATTCGAACCCACGCAGTAAGAGAAGGCTTTAGTACAGCCAACGCTCTAACCAATTGAGCTACGAGGCCCCGCCGGACGACTCGAGTTTTATCAAGTTTACCCGCCCAACCTACTGTAACGTCTGGAATCCACCAAATCTGATACAGTAAGTTGACTGCCCAAGCAGGATTTCCTAAGTAATTCACCTAGAATCTGTCAAAATACCTATGAATTACGTAAGCCTGGTAGTCATCTGGTGGATTCTAGGTGAATGACTTAGGAAATCCTGCTTGAGCAGTCAACTTACTGTATCAGATTTGGTGGGCTCATTGTCCTGTCGGTTGCGATCGTCCCAAGCGCCGCTGTGTGGTTGCTGTTTGGGCTCCAGAATGAGTCCTAAGGCACAACGGGACGCGTGAGTTCCGTTGAAACGATCGGTGAGTGCCGTCCTCTACCATTGCATATTACCGATCGCAACCGAAAGGGCAACGAGCCCGTGACTCAGTGGATAGAGGCGTTGAACTTCCAACTAACAGGTCGCGGGGACGAGTCCCAACTGTTCCACATTTCGGGGTTGGGTATGACTGGCTGACGACAGCAAATAAGTCGGAAGTGGCCATTCCAGTCTCCCTTGTCTTTGTCGGTAATGCCATTCTAACAACGAATATAATTTTCAGCGACTTTTGGAATTTGAGCCGCCATTTTTCTGCTCCTCAATCACATGGGCATTCCCTTTGATGTACGTCCGTTGAGCTATTTCACTCATTATATACTGATTTTTCCCCTTTTTGTTTATCTGACGTACAACAATGAGGTCTTCTGCACACTGCGCCAGCATCGTTGTGAAGGAAGTCAAACTCGACGCGAATTTTGCAGCTCATTCACCGACGACTTAATGATGCCATCAGTTGCATTTTCCGGCAATTATCGCTTGTGATCTTCTGTTGTTTTCTGTTTTGCGTGCGCATTTTGCCCATTGTGAATGGAGGCTTTTTATTGAAAATTTTGGAATGATACCTCCAGACTAAAGCGTATCACTGTCTTCTCTTGAAGAATCTGATCTGTAAAATTACAATTATAAATGAAAGTTACTTAAAAATAGAAAGTACAAATAATTAGGTGTATCGAAGTCTTCCAATAAAATAGTTGCGCCGTCATAATGCAAAAATGGAGGTACTACGATCGAATTTTCGGAGTATAAAGTACCCCAAAACAGTGAATTAGATTTGTTTCCTTCTTAATTTTCCATTCAGCTCAAGGCCAAGGAAACGTGAGTATGACTAGAAGACAACTTTGTCGGAGAACATCATAGATATGAAAGAATCTAAAAAATCACATGTCACGTAACAGTGCCCTAAGATTTATGAAGACTGAACTGGCTTCAGATAGACTGCTTGTCAGAAGTAAAAGTGTGTGGAGAATGTGTTGAAGAGTTACAGACGAGGTTTTCAAGTGAGAAAGCGAGCAAAATCGTTGAAAACAATTTTTGTACTCCTTTGCCCGGGTTTGAACGTATTTTGGGAATTGTTTTGTCTATTATTTATTTGCCATTGTTCCCAGATTTTAATTGGTCGAGGGATACATAAGTTGGAGTTCAGAGGAATGTCCGTCAACCTGGAAAAATATCTACAAAACAGAAAATGACCTTCAAAACGAAGTCCCACATCGAGTGGTTGTATCGCCTGAATGGACAGTTTCCGTCACTACCCAGAACCTAAGAAGAAGTCTTAAGAGCTTAAGCAGATCCATGATTACCGGCTACTTTAAAGTGGCACTTTACGACCGATAACCCCCTAAAATTCAACGTTAAACGCGCTCTACAGTGACTATGCGTTTCGCATCATACACCGAAAATGGTAAGAAAATGCCAGAATCAAATCAACGAGATTTCCTCAAAAAGTCATTTCATAATGATGTGGGAGTAGATGAGGAGTTTCCATCGCCAGGTCCCCCATGGATTCAGATGACCACGACTCCACTGTACTTCCAGTTTTTGACCTCGAAATCTTCAGCCAAAATAGACCTGTCAAGTAGAATTATTACTTCTATGAAAAGTTTGTCAGAAATCAAGATTATGAAGTGAACCTCTTCTCAGACCTATCCCTCATGGAAAGAAAGTAGAGAGTAAGATTCATCTTTTCTCGATATGCTTATGTGGCAAAACAACTTATTCGCAAGCAAGTTCCGAGCTTGTCCAGGAGCTCTTCCGTGGTATGAAACCCTCGCTATGGGGAGAGTTTATTAAAACAAATTCCGCTTCACTGCTACACGAAGCCATTGAGGCAAATGTTGGTCTTCTCGGAATTCCGTTTCAGACCGAATGTATATGGGGTAACAGGGCTATTAAAACAAGGACGGGATACATCTATTCAAACAAATTTCAAGACGTGTGACACAGTCAGAATAATCAAGGTCTAAAATAAGGTGGTAGTGTCCCATCCGAACGTCCTCACCGTTCTGGAGTGTCATGGACGTAATTTATTCTATTGGGCAGTTACATAGGAGTGGCGAGAGGACATAATCTGACCGAATTACAGCGTTTTGCGATGAAATGCTTGTGCCGTTCACTGTAAGTTCAGACTTAGGGTACATTGATTTAGAGGGCATACCGTCAGCCTCCATGCCCACCAACAGGGCACATCGGCTGTACAAGTCAGAGGCAGCGATAAGTTTGTGTGAACGGATAACTATCCCCAAGTGAAGACAAAGTACATGTTCTAAGATTGGTCGTTGGATAGTATTTGATTTATACGGCCTCAGGGGGGCAAAACCAACTATTGGTGGATTCCGGATGTTGCAGTAGGTTGGGCGGGTACTCACAAGGGTCTCTATGACCATTTGGACTAATTTAATGACAATGTCGTTGCGAAATTACGCAACTTCTGTCCTAAAAAACGAACCAATATAGCTTCCGTTTTGCTGATCAGATTGTCTGTCACATTTGCCGAATATCTTCTTAAATCACCCAAGTCATCACATAAAGACAGTTCCTGCGGACTTCTGCTGACAGTCTACCCCCAATCACTACTTTGTTGCCCGGAAGACACTGAGAAATCACTCAAATTTCAGCGGCATTTCGCAATCAGTTATGGGAAGACGTTGTGAGAGTACATGAGGTAGAAAGGATGCCGTACTGACCCGGATGCGACGGGCTGAATGACATCGAAAAACATTTATGCTGATGCGACAGGTTCTCCTTCAGTGACAGTAAATGGAGGCTACTCTAAGGACAACCAAATAGACAGCATGATAGGCCAAACACCATGTCTGGTTTTGAAACTCAAGTATGTGTTCAGATTATGTGATTTTGGGTAAACACCATGTGCTGCAGCAGCGTTAGAGAAATCAGGAATCATATAGTTATATAGGCAAGATTAGAGAAAAGTAAGACCACAAACAGACAGACACCAACTAGACAGTCGACGGTAACGAACTAACCCAGCATAACTTTGCAACCCCTGCGACAGGTCACGCCCTTGAAATTCCAGACGAGAGCGGGACTTATTGAGCAGGGAGCAAGCTGGTCAGTTAAGTGACTGGAACTATAAAATGTAATCAAAATTTCCCACACACAATATCACACCCTATTTCGTATACAGAGATGCACAACACTGTCCTAAGTGGTCTAAAGCTAGTCACTGATTAGGTTGAACGTGCAATGTCGTTTGCGATTCGGCTGTCTTTGGACTCCTGTAAAAGTGTAAAAAATCACAAAAATACATAAAGAACTTTACCAGTCCCACTTTTATTACTTCAGGCTCTATCCGACATTAGAAGATTTGTCATATTTTCCTTTTAAAAGAAGTGGGAATCTCGTTCTACAAAGCAGTGAAAGGTCGAAATTTATGGACGCCTTAGGAGAATTCAATTCGAACAAAACAACAAGGACCCAATATATCCGTCTGACAAAGCTGAATTCCTTAAAATATTCAGATATGCCATCCGAAACATTATAGAAACGTTACAGTAAAAGTTAACAAGTAGCATCAGTAAGAGACACATAGGTTCATACAAAAATAAGACCGTCTGCTGCCGCCTGTTTGAGTTGCTCTCGCATACTTCTCTCGGACTGCCGTCGATAGCGCTCTAATTCTTCGTCCTTCGCTTGCCGAACGTTGTCCACCTGTGGCTCAGTAAACTGTTTACTTAGTGCCGGGTCATATTTAGCATTAAAACCAGATTCGTTTGGAATTTGTAGTGTAACCTAGACAAGAAAATGCAGGTCATTTAAATACATAATTAATATTTTTGTTCTTGAATTCAAGTAAGTAAACAGATGTGCATGTAAAAAAATCACTCGTAAGCCCAGAAATGCTACACCTTTCACCTTTGTTTTTAGGTTTTCAGTAACAGTTGCAATGCGGAAGTTAAATTTCGTTAGCTAGAACATGAAAAATTTCATATTCTAGCTAACGAACTTTAACTCCCACATTGCATTTTCCAAACAAACTAAATGATTAGCTAAGAACCGTCCAAAACCTTGGGAATGGATATGTAAAGGGTCACTATTATCGAAATCGTATAGAGTCTTTAAGTACGATTCTGCATTTTTTGGGAAATAACTCATAAATCGAATGACAGGACGATAGTCCTACTGATTTTCGAACATGAAAAAAAACACACGGGCTTGCCGGAATTACACTGATATGCGAAATAAAAGTGATGGAAAATTTCTTTACCCAAACTAACGCGGTTTCAAGGATAAGGTTATTGAAAAGTGACCAAAGTACCTGTGGGTATTTTTGACAGAAAGCAGACTGCCAGAACGTGAGCGGGGACTTTTCAGATCCCTTCCGCAATTCGTTATCGAGTGGAGGAAGGCCTTTAACAAGAGAAAGTATCAGAGCACGAGATATATAACTTATGTTTATTTGATAAACAGAGACTAAAGAAACATTAATACTAAGGAAAAATTCAAACTACCTTTTAGCGAAGTATTATTGATTAAAAAAGAAAGTGTATTTAGGTGCACTTAGATCAAAAAACCTTCTCAATAAAATGACACTAGTTGCATGCTCTTTAAAAGTGTAAGTAGTTCACCACGGTTTAAAAATGAAAAAAATAAAGGAAAAGTATGTGTATCATTGAGTAATGCGTTAATTCTCCTCGGACAGACTTCTGTAAGAACAGACCTACCGATTAATGAAAAGGAATCCTGTCCAGGGAGAATATGCAATGGTTTATCTTGCATTATTGGAGGAATAACGACATTTGGAGTTCCGAAAGCGATATGACTGAGATAACTTCCAATCCTTTTTTTCGCAGTCGGATCAGATGTACTGGTAAACTGAACGTGACAAAGGTACAAGAGCACATACGAACAAAGCAGCTCCATGGTAATGCGCCACAAATCGTAAGCACTGAGAAATAAACTTCCGATCATCATCCCTTAATTTCTTTTAAAGTAAATTAAGACAGCGAGTTACCAGAAATTCATCATATTTGCTTCCTATAATTACTAGTGAAACTGGGAAGATATTCATTAATTCTCTGTCTGTGTGCTTTTCATCGACACGCGCCTGCGCTTTCGCAAGAACCTTATGACGGAAATTTTCCTTTGACTTAATTGATATCCGATCGAGCACCTGCACTATCCTCGCTTCATATGTAGACAAGAAATGCATTAAATTGACCCAAAGTTCCTTAGGAGACGATAAATCAACAACTACAATATAACATAACGTTCTGATAACAAATAAGGCATTGAAGATGGATATTACTCGATACTGTCTTTGGAGACTGTTACATCCAGCAAATTTGAAAGTTTGGGTCCACCGCCTAGTTCCCATATGTGCGCAACTGACTTTGCCTACATACAAATATGCGTTGACGCATATGTTGTAACGACGAAATGGAAGCTCAAACCACATAGGGACCCAAACTCTTCCGGGCAAAATTATATTCGAGGGCTAAAGTGGGCTTAGGATTTTCATCCTTCTCGAGGAAATTGTTGATAATAGTAGTTTTTCCCTAATGTTGAAATTTAACCAAGAAAATTGAGACAAACACATGATCTTGCTCCGGCAAAGACAAGCACTGACTCCTTTGGGCGATTTTTCTCTAAAATGTTTATAGTGACACCGCTACTATAATACCCTGCTTGAGTAGCTTTTGTCGGATGGCTAAATCCCACAATGACTGCGTCATTTTCCAAATTGCGGACTCAGCAACTACCTCAAAGTCGAAATATATAAACACAGTGTGTCGGTTCAACCATACATTTCAAGTAACAGGAAAACGCCCACTATTCGGTAACCTTAGTATTTACACCTGTAAGAAAAACTGTAACCCGGCAAAACTTTAAGAGCTGCTCAAGAGATCCACGTGACTGGAATATCGTGGCGTGTTACTAATAAATGAAACTCCTGAAAAAGATAAATTATAATGTGTAGCATTACAACAGAACGAAATTGATTTCAGAAAAACAGATGAAAAACCCAAACTAGCAGAGGATGTCTGAAAAACGTTAAAGTGGAAAATAAAACTAGACAGATACGTAGAATAAATCCTCGAAGATATGACTGGACACAAATAATCCCCAACAAAAGGTAAATGCCAACACGATATCTTCGGAGTAGAAAATGAAGAAGATGCCCGGGAATGAATTTTACGTTGAAGTGGCCGTCATCCCTTTAAATGGTTTGATGCGACAAGTAACATCAGTCACCGATGGTGAACTTTGGTCTACTGCTACAATGCCCTGAAAATGCAACATAAGATTCAGTGATCGCATTTAAATTAATCCATATCAGAAGGCCTGGCGATTGAGAGCGTTAACCGACACCTGCAAGATAATCCGACCGTCATTCCAATACAACACGTTTCAGGAATGCTTAGACTCTGTCTCAAGAAATACTGCCAATTCGATGGAAATTCTTATCAGCAGGTTAGGCGTACACAAATGGGCTCGCAAATATCAGATTTACTAGCTGAACTGGTACTACAACACCTAGAAGTGGAAGCTGTGCGAACCTTTAAACCACAATGTGGCTCCGATACGGAAACGATACGTTCGTTATCAGGAAGACCTGCGAAATTGAGCAATTGCATCAGAGTCTGAATAGCGTCTTCCCAGCTATCCAGTTTACTCGCGAGGAGGCAACAGGAGACATTTTGCCGTTTCTAGACGTTAGTATTCAAGCGCTTAGTGATGGCGGTTTTGCAACGAGCGTCCACCGAAAAGACTCCAGTGCCGAATCCTTTTCCACAGGGCCTATCGTTACTGCAGTGGCGATGATCTACTTAAGAAAGTACTTGCTTTCTTGTATAGGTTATTCCGGCTCAACGAATAAGCGGTCAGATTTGTGAAAAACTATCTCAGACGGCTGATTTGTTGTTGGCTTAATGGTTGGTCTGGACAGTCTGCTGCGTTCGATAAAGCTGTGGGGTGACCGTTGGAGGTGAACATCCGCCGAAGATAGTGGAGTTCGACTACCTTGTCGGCCGTTTCGCTGCCGTGAGTGTCAACGCTCTTGTAGAGAGATCGAACACAGCTTCAGTTGTGACACAGCGGGTGATTGATGTGGTAGGACAGGACTTGGCGAGTGTTAGTGGCTTCCTGTAGACCGTCGTTTTCAGGCTCCCGTTGACCTTGCGATGGACCAGATGGTCCCATCGTGTCTTTGCGCGGGACACCCACATACAACCCCGCCAAATGGATGTTCGGACGCCTGAACTGCCTCACCTCGGGATCCGATACGACGGTCCGCACATCCGGCCATTTCCTGCATAGACTGAAAGGACTGCAAATTAACACGGACAAGGTCATGGTGTCGTTCGATGTAACCTCGCTGTTCACCTCGATCCCAAAGGATTTGGCAGTTGAAACCGTCAATGACCTCTTCGACAGCCAATACACGGAGGCAAAAAATACCCCTAAGCGAGGGCATTGAGTGCAACTGCTTAAATACTGCCTCCAAACGTTCTTCACCTTTGAAATGACTGTGTACGAGCAAATCAAAGGCACGCCGATGGGCTCACCACTATCCGGTTTTGTCGCTGAAGCTGTTCTTTAAAGGTTGGAGACGTTGGTGTTCACAACATACAAGCCAAAATTTTGGGCGCGGTATGCGGACGAAACTTTCGTCGTTCTCAAACGGGAATTGGTCTCGAATTTCCACGCGCTACTGAAGTCTATTCTTCCCGATGTTCAATTCACCATGGAGACAGAGAAAAACAGTCAGATCGCGTTTCTAGACGTTCTGGTCCATCATAAGCTCAACGGAAGCCTGAAAACGACGGTCTTCAGAAAGGCCCCTAACACTCACCAAGTCCTGTCCTACTACACCATTCACCCGCTGTATCACAACTGAAGCTGTGTTTGATCTCTCTACAAGAGCGTTGACACTCACTGCAGCGAAACGGCCGACAAGGTAGCCGAACTCCACTATCTACGGCGGATGTTCAACTCCAACGGTTACCCCCACAACTTTTATAGAACGCAGCAGACTGTCCAGACCAACCATTAAGTCAACGGCAAATCAGCCGAAAGTCTGGCGAACACTGCCATATATTGCTTAGGTTTCCGAGGCAGTTGCTCATATCTTGCAACCATTGGGTATCGGCATCGCCCACAAACCCGAATAGACAATTAGACGTCTGGTCATGAGACCAAAAGCGCCTCTACCACGAGGCGAAACTGTCAACGTCGTCTATCGGATCCCGTGTAGTTCCTGCGGAGCAAACTACGTTGGAGAAACCGGGAAGAGATTGCAGACACGCCTGCACGAGCACGCAAGAACGGTACGAAGGATGGATCAATTCTCGCTGGTGGCGGAAAGTCGCGCAGCCTTTGGCCCTGCCTTAGCCTTTCAAGACGCTGAAGTCTTGGGCCATGGAAGCGATCAAACGGTCAGGGAGACGCTCGAAGCCTGACACACCATAACTACCTCAATCAACCGCTCCGTAACTTTGCCGGCTGCCTACCAAGCCCTACGGGTGAAGTTCAACAAGCAGGGTTACCGACGAGGCGTCAGGCCAGAGACGGCAATAGTCAAACCCAGACCAAGCGGGGACACGGACGGGCATATACAAGCATCGGGAACAGACGAAAACAAGGGACAACCGGCGGCGAACGTAAACCTAGGAGACCGCCTTCTGGGTCTGAACGCAGACAGACACGAGCACGCGGTGAGAACGTCCGACAGTGACAGGACCCCACAGCACAACGTCAACACTGGCGTGACAACTACCGTCCACACGGTTACGGGTAGGTGCGAACGGGACAGGAAGGCGAGATATGTGGAGAACGGACAACGGACAATGCAAAGAAGAGCAATGGCCGCGGTCACCGCGACGCCGCTCCCCTCCCCACACCCCACAAAGGATGAGGAGGAACAGATGCCCCCATGACAACTATCGCCAAGCCTTGAGATACAGCACGCCGGAAGTCAGTGACACGCCAAAACGAAGGAGAACCCTTAAATACTGTGACGTGCAGTACGCGACACATCTCTCATAGAAAAGAATAGGTTTATTGTAGCGCCCCTTGGGCACTGTTAGTCCCCTTTAAACTCAGGAAAAAAACCCAAAACAAACTCATCAATTTCAACTGAACTTTGATTTCATTTGTTTCGGTTGTCTGTTTAGCCAAAAGAGCGCGAATTGAGAGTTTGTTTTAAGTTAGAAAACCTCAGTTTTTAAGGAAAATAATAACAAAAGTTTTAAAAAATAACAATATGTACAATATAAAAATTGAAGTTTGCAATTTGGTAGTTTTTGGGGGCATGAATAATATGTCCTTCATGGCAATTGAAGAACTTTGATATCGGCCTGACCTTGAAATTATTTTCCTGTTGGGTAAATTTCGGTGTGCTCTAGTGGATAGTTGTCATGTAACGCCCCTGGACTTGGACAGAGTTGTTTGAATGATGTGACTTTCGGCGCGCGGACCTGGGATGGAGATGGCGTAACTGCGTGCTGGCGAAGACGGCCGGTGTCCCTTCCCCTCGCTACCGCCGACCCCCCCCCCTCCCGCAACGAACCGTCGCTCTCGATTCTCTCTCGCTCCCTCACTCAACGTCGGCTCCCCCCGACCCTTCCCTGCAGTTGCCCACAACGCTGCATCCCCATCGGCTGTTTAATTGGTATCGCAGGGTCGTCTATCCATCCAGACAGGTCATCTAGTTGCTGTTCCTCGTTGCTAGTGTACATTAACATTTGTTATATACATTCTTCATATCAGTTGTTCCATTACACTATATCCGTACTCGACGTACTCTCTTCTTCTGCGTGTGAACGAGTTTCGAGAGATATTAACAGTTCTGTTCAGGTCTACCTCCGCCAGGATGTCTTCTCGGCGTTTCCTTTCTCCAGTGTGTGCTACCCTTGACGTCCTCGGCCGTTACAATCAGTCAATCTGGCCAGCTGTAAGGGGGAGGTCGCACAGTTCTTACGTGTTTTTCAGGAGACTTACCATCGTTGTCTGGACTAAGAGCTGGAAAAGATGAATATATATCAGGAGTAAGAGGCATTCAATGCTAAGTTACAATCAAAACTGTCAAAATACTCTTGAATCATGTATCATATTGTTCGTGTTAATGTGAAATTATAGGAGTACCCAAGTAGCAAACTATATCGAGTAGATATCTATTAGATATCTATTTGGCGAGATATATATATCGACTGGATATCTATTTTGTCGCAAAAATAGATATCTATTAGATATCGATTAATCGAGATACTACGCCATCGGCGAAAAGGGGGAGTAATATGCTACGCGTGGAATCGTTTGCTTAACCCAATGCCCTTTTCTACTGCCATCCATTCCTTTTCTTGCCTTTGCCCCCACCCCCGTTTACCCAGAGTTAATTTGGAGACGGTTATTGTCGAAAAGTTATATTTAAAAACAAAATAACTGAATGTGTACATAGCCTTGCTGAACCGCTTCTATGATTCCTTTGTTCACGCAGGCGGGGAATCACTTGATGGTCCTGGGATATTGTCTACAAGTCAGAATTAGTTCTTGATAAAGGCAATCAATTTACCACTCTCATCTCGGTTTTATTGTGACTTGTTTTTTTCGTTGCACGTAGCTATCCAGCGACCTTTTTAGGCGCTTGGTTATTGCTGATTCCAGGTCAGACAACGTTACGCTCCTATCGGTATTCTATGCGCCGAAGACTTCTGCATGCTGTAGAGTTGTAAGTAACCGCAGACTTACCAAGTATAACCGTATATAGTTTTGAACCGCTGAGGCGCTCTTTAGTCTTTCTGCCTTCGAAATTGACATACAAGCTAATTTCCTCGTCGAAGATAGCGAAGAATATTCGCTTGACGAATTCGTCTAGATTATGCCCTCCAAGGCATGTAAGGAACGAAATCTAAAGCAATAGGGTTTTATTTAATGTTTTGCATACCAGCTGGTTTCTGAATACGTTGTCCAGTAATTGGACATTTAAGTTCCGAAACTCTGCACCGGAACGTATTTGGTGGTCTAGCGGGTTCATGGGCAGTTGAGAAGCTACCTATCCCGCAGTTTTAGTTTGCTGTTGAATCATCGATTCCAATAGCCACTGACGTCCTAGGACTTTGCGATTTGTTTCCATCAAGATGTCTATTTTCAAAGACAGTGCCCGCATGTGCTTACACATGAGCAGCAGAATGTCTTCATTATCATTCTCCTTAGGCACTGTTGTCGGTATCTCATCACCCAGGGGAATCGTCTCGAAAGAATCATTGGCCTCCTCCTGAGGCTCCTGAAAGGTGTAACAGCGTTATTTTGCATAACTTACAGGCGATGATATGCCTTCACCTTCCAGGAGGTAGAGCGCCTCATCAATCGCAGACCTTCTTTGTCTTGCCGGTAGCTGACGAGTGGGTATTTTGCTCATGATAATATCTACAAACGCACAGGAAATAAGGTGAATTAAGTACTAGCGTAAGGGACAATTATCCCCTGCAGTGCTCGCAAACCAATAACTAGTGAGGTTATTCTAGCTATATTACCTGTGCGTTTGTAGGGTTCACAAGCACTGTTTGCATAGGCAAAAGGATAGTAAGTGGCTTCCCTAATTATCTATATAATTTCAATTAATTCGTAGGGGTTATCTTCTGGGAAGCATGCGTACTTAATGTATTCATTCGGCAATGGTGAGCAGAGTAACGTGGTATCTAAGCTGGCTTTATAAACTTTCATTAGTGAGGAGTTCTTAGGATAGTCAAAGTAGTATGGAATATTGCCGAATTCGTGGTAGACTAAACGCATACATCCATCTGAATCGCATAGTATGTTTTTAACACATACTATTCGATTACCTATCTATATGCACCTATTGCCTGAGGTAATGTCAATACGATATCTATCAATGATTAGACATTTATATTGCTGACTGCCTTCATAGCCTGCAGGTATTGGTCCTGCATTATGCTCATAAAGGAATCTAGGTGAAGGATGCCTTGAAGTATCGTGCGTAGCTACCTCTCCCTCGCTTAAACGCCTAGCTACCTGTTGTAAAGGCCGTGAGGGGCTTCTAAGCAAATTCTGCAATCTGCCTAAATAGCCTTCAAAAGGGAAAGACGAAGATGAGTCCAGTGGACCGTGGCGCTCAACATCGTCCGCAATGCGCATAAGGCTATGCTCATTGTAAACCATGTGTTCGTCACCCTATAGACTCGAAAACCTTCTAGTAAACAGTAATAACAACTGCCTACAATAACCTACGTTTCGATAGCAGGTCTTAGGAGAGGCCAGCAATCTAAGGGCAGTAAAAAGCATTAAATACAATTTATAATGATTAAGAGGCAGGATACCCGGTAGAAAAACAAGACCTAGATACAATACAAACTGTCTAAACTCTGTAGCCTTCCAGGATTCGAACTCACTTAAACACCTAGCTTTTTGGAAAAATTCTGATGGAAGGCATGCGTTTAAAGAACGCAACCTATCGTCTATAGCCTTCTCCTGCACTGCCTTCAGTACCGAAGTTGTCGTGCGACCACTGTCCTTTGAACGATGATTTCTAACCCACAAACTTAGCAAGCGTTTCACTACACCCAAGTAAATTAGATGCATTGGATCTAGAGGAAATTGGTTAATAAGGCCAACGTTGTAAGAGAGGAATGGAGACACTCCGACCCTGTGTTCGTCCTCGACAGAGTGCAAGAAGTCCTCATCCGTCCTATCACTCTCTCCTTTCTCTAGGTGTACTACTTTTCCCATATAAACACCCGTTACTGTACAACGTTTGCACCCATTATACGCATTCACGTTCTTGATTTGCTTAACGAAGGCCCTCGCAGGAGCGTCACAGATAACACAGCTGACGCGAACGCGGGTCTGCAGTCCGACGCTGTCGCTGCTGTTGATCCCTTGTTCGCTTAATGATGTTAACTCACTAACTACTAACTTACAGAATGCATGGACATCTGACGGTTTTCCAGTACCACAGTAAATGCCAACTGGAAAAACGTTACTGAAAATGGGCCGCGAGATTCTGCCTAAGATTGGCCACATTTCGGTGTTTGATTTTCTAAATACTGGGAGACCATCGATGGCCAACTGAATCTCTATATCGCAAGCTGAGTTTACTATATTCTTACTTATAAGTCTACGTAGTTGCCATTCTAAGCCGAAGTGCACATACTCACCGCTACCCATTGGGGCAACCTTTAGATCATAGGCCGCTCCCAAGAGTGTTCTGGGGTCTGCCGGTAGTTGGGGCACAATCGGCTTAGAACTAGCCAACAGGGCTCTTATGGGAGAGTGTGCAATCTTGAATGCCAGCGCCCATTCACGCAATCGTTTGACGTATATGTCGCCCGGGGCAACGGCTACAATCTCACGGTTTTCAACGTCTGAAGACGCTCCTGCATTCGTCCTCAGGACAGCACTTTCTGCCGACGAAGTGGTCCTGTCCTCCTGCATAGGCTGTAATTGTTCTGAGCCGCCACATAACGTGCTTAAAGGTCGACTTTGCGATTTTCGCCTACGTTTCACAGTCTCCACGATTTCCCGGAACTCCTCGTCTCCGTACCTCTTAATACGTCGTAATCGTGTTCTCCGGGATTCCTGCCTAAACATGGTAAAGGTAGAAACAGCAGACAACAGGTTTAAATCAGTAATATGAGGTAAGTGCAAGCAGTGTCACGTCACGCGTTCCACGCCGCTCACGAGAAATAATGGCGCGACCGCGTGTGGGCGCAATCGAAATGCAACTAAACTACGGCAACCAATGAAATGACAGATTGCACAAACGAGGTAGCCAATGATGTGACAGATACACATATCTCGATAAATCGCTATTCTCGCTATACTCGATATCTATTGCTACTAGGGGTAGTGGTCGACTGTTTACTATGACCTAATATAGTTGTATATATGTTTAATATGGCCTTAATGTAGACATACGCAGGACTAATATGCAGGGTTTTATCGAAGGGTATATTTTTATTAGCTTTATAAGGGATATTTAGTGTCAGGTGATATATAGCTGATGAAAACGAGAAAGGGAGGAAAGAAAGAATATCACTATCTTTTCTATGTTTATCAATGACGCTATCTTTTATAAATTTGATTATTTTCAGTGCTATGTTCCGGTATTATGCAAGCGGCTGGCATCATCAGAGCCCTTTTGGACCAAATTCTATATCAAAGAATTGACTTGAAAAATGTCCTATCTTATTCAAAAATAAATGTGTATTGTTATTTGGAAGGAATTTCTTAGTTTTTATTGTAAACTCGATTAGGGTTCGACTTTTCCGGATAGAACTTGGAAGAAATCCCAGATAGTCGCATATCTCATGGAGTAGAAATTTGACCGTTGGGACTTTGTGAAGTTGGGAATCCTTATAATATCCTCGTTATTTCTGGTGTTTCTAGGGGCGTTTTGGTTGGTAAATAAATTCATTTTGAGAATATCTTGGTCGTGGGTGACCTTGACTAGGAGGTTTAGACCATTTTGAGGTCTTCTGGTCCAGAGGGGTCGAAGACCGTATTTATGATATAGTTCTAAGTATGAACCCTGGATGCCATCACTTCTAGACAAAAATCTAGTAAAACGTCTCTGAATGCCTTCTAGTTTCTTTCGGCCGTCTGAGGGCATTATGCCGAAGAAAATTGAACAGTAATCTAGGAGAGGTAAAACATACAGTTTGAACAGTTGTATTCCTAGTGCATTTAAGGTGAAATTCTTGCATATTAGTCCACACAGGCGAGTGGCTTTCGGTGATATTTGTTGGACGTGGGGAGATAAATCAAGGGTATTTGTATAGCTGAGACCTAAATCTTTTACCGATTGGGCCTCTTTTATTTCATTATCCTCGAATATTATGGGTGGGGGGGGGGAGTTTTTGTGAACCAAATATCAGGAGATGGCATTTTTCGGGTGAAAAGGACATCTGCCACTGACTAGTCCATTCGCTGAGTTTTCTGAGATCAGTTTCAATTGTTCTATGAATATTGGCTACTGTATTCCCGTTATATGCATATGCAATTTTAAGGTCGTCCGCATACAAAAAAGTCTTAGCTGAGACAGATATGGACGATAAGTCGTGAATATATATAAGAAATAGAAGGGAGCCTAGGATAGTGCCTTGAAGTACTCCACTGGTAATAGGGGATGGTTCTGAGACTACGTTTCGAATTTGCACCACCTGGTATCGGTTTTGAAGATAGGATTTAAGAAAATCGAGAAGGGCTGGCCTAATTCCATGACCTTTTAGCTTTATCAGTGGTCTTTTATGGGGACTTTGTCAAAGGCCTTTCTTAGATCTAAGTATATTGAAGCTACTGTGTTTCCATGATCTCTATTACTGGAAACGAATTCCAAAAAAGTAAGGTGGCAGGACTGACATGACTTTTTAGGTAAGAATGCATGTTGAGAGGAGGGAATGAGGTTGGCGTTCATGAGATGGTCTAGCAATCGGTTGTATACTATTTTCTCGAGGATTTTAGCTGTAACCGGTGTTCGGTGAACACCACGATAGTTTTGGGTATGAGATCGGTTGCCGCTTTTAAATATAGATGCAGTGGTAGAGTATCTCCACATGTCCGGAAAAATGCATTTGACTGGAGTAGGGTGAATAACTTAGATAGGATTATTGGAGCATATGTCATATGCTTCAGAATACATGGTGGGATTTTGTCTGTCCCATAGGGTTTGGTGTTTGATAGTTGTTTGATGGCTGCTTTAACAGTTTCTTCACTAAAATGGATTTCACAAAGGATGCGTTCAGTCATCTCGGTCGGTTGGGGGATCGTCCCATCTTCGACTGTGTAGTTAGCTGAGGAGTATCTGTTGAATAAGTTTGCTATTTGGTTATCATTGGTTATAACTTGCCCTAATTCATTAATAATAGTACGTGGTCCTGACCGTCGATGATTACTCATTAATTTCTGAAACATCTGAGCTGTTTGTTCGGGGTATTCTAGTGCCCGATGTTCTGCTGCCATGGTCTTTTTTGATTCTAGTTTCGTGATTAGGTCGTGAATTTCCCTAATTCGAAAGCCTGACGGAAGATTGTCTTGAAGAAGCCCTGCCAGCACCAGCCCCGCCTAGCCCCGCCTGACCCCCTCAATAATGGCGGGGCTAGAGGGGGCCATGAGGGGGCTAGGCGGGACTGTGGAGGGGGCTGTGGCGGGGCATGCAACGCGATAGCCCCGCCAGCGAAAAATAATGTGCAGGGGACGCCACATCCCCGCCCACTTTTGGCACCACTTTAAAATATCGTCCTGTACACCGAGTCCCCTGAGGCGCAGTGCCTCACTATTCCCACATGCTACACGTCGGAACCCACCCTGCGTACGTAGAGTACTACGGTATTACATAGTACTCACAGTGACCCCGCCGCACACGTGCCCACTAATCGGCAGCCAATATCAAATACACGTGACGCAAATTCATGTGAATGAGTTATTTATTGTATAAACGAAAAAGTAATTGGAAAATATGTACAATCATAATAAATGTCAGTGCCAGTATATACATGGACTTCAACATATGTTATACCATTCAGTTGTGCGTTCCATAAGTACCCGCTTCGACGGCTGGTTCCTATAGTTGAAGGAAAACAATTCTTTGGAAGACACATATTCGATGGAAGGGAAGTAATACTTTAAAATTTAAATGACAATTTTTACACTAATTAAGTTCACTACCGCAGTATGAATATTTAACCAAAAATATGTGAATTTCATTGATGGTAATAAACGTGTCTTCAGATAGAGACAGTGTGGGACAACGTGTATCATCGCTAGTCCCCACAATTGCCTCCCGGCGTTTAGCCCGGCCGCCATACCGGTCCCTCGATCCATGAAACCAATCAATGACAGTCTTGCGAACCATTTCGTGAGCGCAATCATCAAAGGGAGGGTTGAGGCGAATGACATCTGAAGTGTTAACAAATGAGGAAAACTTACCACACAGGAGTGCATATAAAGGACTACCAACAAAGGATTGTTTTCCCACTGAGCCACTCCAACAGTAGTCACGCCTTCATCTGGCGCTTAATGCGCCTGTATATGGTGCTTCGGTGATAGCCAGAGTAATTACGCTTCATAATTGCTTTGGATATTCAGTAAAAAACGATAAACAATTTGTATAATTGGACTACGAACACCAAGGCTAAATACTACATGCATAGACATACAGCTCGACTACTTGAACTGGCTGGTGAGTAGTTACCTAAACAATTAGCATAATATACATAAATGAACTAAGACAGCTATCAAGAGCATGAAAACAGCATTGGTTGACTCACGATATTATCTGCAATCGATTGTCAAATATACGAATTAATAACACACACAGATTTTAATCCGGTGGACAAATAAGAGTTTACGCAGTGAGGGACTTAAACAAAACCTCAGTTTATTGTGCTCATTCGCAGCTACATTCAGTGGGCGCAAACGGATGCTTTCTCCATGATTTATAAGCCAATTTTGATAAATTAGCTCCTTTTAATGCCAAAGAAGGTACAATGAGTGGTGCTTTTGAAACATATCTTTCGATGCAAATACGCTTTAAAATGCTTCAATCCAGAGGGGGCTCTGGCCCCACCCAGCCCCGCCTATGAAGGGGTCATGTGCTGGCAGAGGAGACATGATCGCGTGGACAAGGGCTTTATTAGCCTGACGTTTCGGATTCCTACTCGAATCCATCATCAGAGGCATCAGAAGCTTGTCTGCTTCCGAAACGTCAGGCAAATAAATTCATGGGTCATGTGATCGCCATATCCTCATATATATATATATATATATATATATATATATATATATATATATTATGATAGTGGGCGCTCACCGATCAGGTTACGGAACATGCTCGTTCCGTTGTGCCTTGGGGCTCATACTTAAACCCTCGCAGGCAGTCGCACAGCGACTAGTGATATATGTTGGAAAGGTAATACCGACAAAGACAAATCTCAAGTGATCCACACTTGGGGTTGGGTATGACTGGCTGATGACGGCTAATAAGCCAGAAATGGCCATTCCGGTCTCCCTTGTCTTTGTCGGTATTACCTTTCCATATATATATATACATATATATATATGAAAAAATTGAAGAGGTTCTTCGGAAAAGTCGAGTTGTACTCGTGAATTTTCGAGCTGGTGACACCAACCCGTCGTCAGACGTAATGAAAACGAGGGAGAAAGTTATGTTGTCACAGTAGACCAGTTAGTGTGATAGGACAGAACAGATCACTGACGTGAGAGGGGGGGGTGGTGGGTGGGGTGGGCTCCCGAGGTCATGGTAGATCACTGAGTGAGGGGCGGGGAAGGCAGAGGAGGCGGAACAATTACGGCGCACCGTGCTGGAGCGGGAGGGTGGGTGGTGAATCAGTTGGAATGCGGGCGGCTGCATTCGCGGTCGCTGATGCGTGATTAGGGCAGGGGGCAGTCATTCGTGAACGTAGACCCTCGTAATGGGCGTCTAACCCAATGTGACGGTTGATACTACCCGCATTGGAGTACCAAGCCTCAAGAAATTCCCTCGCTCGCTTTGTGTTAGCCATGGCGACGACCTCAGTGTCATCCCAATTGAATCGGTGGTCGTACTCGAGTGCATGGGCAAAGACGAGGGACAGGGGCTCTCGCCGACGGATAGCTAGTTTGTGTTCGTTGATACGGGTGCCCAGGCATCGACCTGTATGGCCAACATACACGCAAGAGCAATAAGCACACGGGATACGATAAATTATATTCGTTTGTTGCTCTTTCGGGATGGGATCCTTCACTCGAGATAGTGCTGCGCGTAGTGAAGATGACGGTTTGTGGGCAACGTGAATGCCCATGCGGCTGAACTGCCGGGCGATTATTTCAGAAGTTCCACGCATATATGGCAAGGAGAAGAATTTTCGCGTCACAATCTCTCCGTTGGGGGTGGGGTCTTGCGACTGTGTCTGGTGCCTGAGACAGTTCTTTACAAAACTGATCGGATATCCGTTAGAGCGGAATAACCGATACAGGTGAGCAAGCTTTTTGTTCAGGAGATCGTTGCTGTTACAATAACGGTAGGCCCGGTGGAACAGAGTTCGGACGCAGCTTCTTTTGTGAGCTGCAGGGTGGTTGCTTCCATAGTTGAGGATAATCTCAGAGTTAGAGTCTTTCCTATGGACGCTTGTTGCCAGGCTGCCATCGCTCAACTTCTGTATCCTCACGTCCAGAAACGGCAAGCTGTCTCCAATTGCCTCTTCGCGGGTAAACTGTATGGCTGGGAAAACGTCATTCAGGCTCTGGTGAAGCCGTTCGACTTCGCAATTCTTTATTATGACGAAGGTGTCATCAACATAATGAAGCCATAGTTTAGGCTTGATAGTTTATAAAACTATCTCTTCTAGTCGCTGCAAAACTAGTTCGGCGAGCAGTCCTGATATTGGTGAGCCCATCGGGGTTCCCTTTACCTGTTGGTAGTACCTATTATCAAATTGACAATAGTTCCCAAGGCAAAGATTTAGCAGTTCTAAAACATGCTGCGTTGGGATCTCAATAAAATTGTTCTGTAGGCGTTGGGTTACGCATTCAATCGCCAAATCATGTTGTATGGAGGAAAACAAGGCAACGACGTCAAAGGACAGGAAGCATTCATCGGTACTTACTTTGAGGCCTTGTACCCTGCGGAGGAACGCTTGAGAGTTGTTAATGCTATAATCCATGAGTGAGCCGCTTAAGACGACTGTATAACCACTTAGCTATATTGTAAGTGGGTGATCCGATAAGTGGCACTATAATCCTCAGGGGGACATCCACTTTGTGCACTTTTGGGAGGCCGTACGCGTGTGCGATGTGGGGATCACTGAGGGTCATCAACTTGGAATCATCTGGACTGATAACTTTCAAACGAGCGAGCTCATTGACCTTCTTTTTGATGGCTGCAGCTTGCTTTTTAGTCGGATCTTCAGCAAGAAGGGTATAAGCCTCCATGTCACTGAAGATTTCATTCGCCTTGTTAACATATTCAACTTTGTCCATGATGACAGTAGCGCCACCCTTGTCAGCGGGACCAACGACAATACTGTGATCCGACTTCAATGATCGTAATGCTTGCGCTTCTTCGGCCGGTAGATTTTGTTGGTATCTTTTTTGCCGGAGAATACCGGTGGCGCAGCTTCGTATGTTCGCGCGCATGTCTTCCGGAATGTTGGAGGCCAGTAGAATGGACTCAAGCCCAGCTAGGAAGTCGGTAGGTGTGGCATCCGCATGATTAAATCCTATTCCCTTGGATAGGAGGGTGATTTCCGCAGGTGAGAGACTCCTCTTCGATAGGTTGACAACTCTAGTGGTCAAATTTCCTTGGTTCATAGGACGGAGAAGTGATTGGAGTTTCTCCTGGAGATCAAGTCTCTTCTTCAATCTTGCATCCTCGGTGGTGGCGTTAATTCTTTGCTGCACATCCTCGAATACGTGCTCAGGTAGCGCTGAAGCGCACTGATTTTTTAGGTCAGTAATTTTCGCTTCGAATTTGTGGAGACGATTGTGAACGTCCGAAATTATAGCACTCAAAACACGCCATCCGTATTTGCGCGCAAGAAATCTCCCGGTCTCATTCGGCAACGTCGGTTTGAAACGAAGAGACTTCGGTAACACACCGTGATCGCGACAGCGGTGGAGGAAAGTCTGTTGTTCGCTAGTCATCGCATGTCTCTGTGTAAATTTCTCCCAACATCTGGTTAAACTAAGCGTTTGACGCCCGAATATACGTTGTAGCTCAGAGGGGGTATGCATTCCGAGTAGATATAATGAAAAAATAGAAGAGGTTCTACGGAAAAGTCGAGTTGTACTCGAACGGGAGATTTCTTGCGCGCAAATACGGATGGTGTATTTTGAGTGCTATAATTTCGGACGTTCACAATCGTCTCCACAAATTCGAAGCGAAAATTACTGACCTAAAAACGTCAGATGAATAAATCATCCTCCCCAGAGATCTCTTTACCTTCTTCCATACATATATATATATATCGCGTTCATCATCTCCCGAGGAAGATGAAGATGAAGAGAGGGCAAATTCATGGACCATATTGTATTCGAACTGACGTTTCGGAACCTTCCTCGTTTCCATCATCAGAGTAGCGTAATTGTTGCACTTGCCGGTCTTGAGTTGTTCAGTCTTGCCGCCTGCCTCGTATTATAGCTGTGCTCGATGCACGAATTTTGACCTGCCTGTTTGCCGCTGACTGGCATAGACCTCCCCGGGGCTGACCGCTGACAGGCCTGCGTGACCTTTGTTCCCTTTGGGGTGGACGTAATTGTGGTCAAATCAACGTGCCGCTTGGCCTCTCCCACGTCAGCCGGTGGACTGATCGCTCGTTGCTGTTCAGGTGAGCAGCATTCAGCTTCGCGGGCACATCGGTGAGACAGTGTTCTGCTTTGGTCACATGACCTCTGGCCCCCAATTCCGCTCTTTTCCGTGAGCGTTGACTCTCAGTCCCGCGTGCTGATTTGCCTTACTGGTCCTGTCCGGACTGATCCGAGCCTTGTACGCAGCGCCTGGTAGGCGGGATGTAGATCTATAGCTCGGTTGAGTGTACTAACCGAGGACCAACTTTCGAGCACCAGTCTGGCCATCTTCTCATTGGCTCTGCCAATTACCCTCGCTTTCTCAAAGGCAAAATCGTGGTTCAGTTCTCTTATGTGGCCATAGACCAAACACAGCTTGTCCTTGCGGTTGATTGCAAGTTGGTGTTCGAGCAATCTTGTGCCAAGGCGTTTGCCCGTTTCACCAACATACCTTGCATTGCAATTTAGGCATGGTATGCTGTAGACCACTGCCGACTGTTCTGTTGTTGGTAGCGGGTCCTTGGGCTTCATGATTTGCTGTCTGATGGTGCATTCTGGTTTATGAGCCACGCCAATCCCAAAAGGTTTTAGGGTTCTTGCCGTTGCCTCTGATACGTTCTTCACATAGGGTATTGAGAGCCAGAACTTGGGCTTTTCTCCACTCGACCGCTCAAAATGAGGCTTTTTAGGCAATTGCGTATGAAGGACTTCGGGTAGCCGTTGGCTTTAAAAAGGGCCTGTAAGTAATTCATCTCCTCCTTCCTCCCACTGTCGTCGCTACGGTGTGTTTGAACACGTTGAAAGATAGTTTTGACACAACTGCGTTTATGACCAACAGGGTGGTTGCTTCGGAAGTGGAGGATACGCCTAGTATTTGTCGCCTTACGGTAAACCGTTGTCCTTATCTTCCCGTCTGTCAATCTCGTAACTTGTACGCCCGGGAAGGGCAACTGATTGTCGACTTCCTCCTCCATAGTAAACTGAATGTCGGGAAAGATTGAGTTCAACAATGCCTTGAAAGCCTTCACGTCGCTCCTCTTGATTACAACGAACGTGTCGTCGACGTATCTGGCCCAGAACTTCGGGGGGTACGAGCTGAAGACCTGCTGCTCGAGTCTGCGCAAAACTGCTTCGGCAATTAGTCCAGACAGAGGCGAGCCCATCGGTGTCCCCTTCTTTTGCTCGTAGACTTGGCCGTTGAATGTGAAGAAGGTCTTAAGACACAGTTCTAGGAGCTCGATGATATGTGCCCGTTTGAGCTGTTGGTCGGTTTCATCATACTTTTTCCGGAGAAAGCCATCAATAGTTTCGATAGTCTGCGCGGGTGGGATGGAGGTGAATAATGAGATCACGTCAAATGACACCATCACCTCATCTGCCTCCACTTCGAGATGTTTGATGCGCGTCAAGAACTCTTCAGCTGACTTCACTGTCCACTGCGAATCCTTGGTAAGGAAACAAAGTCGTTGGTACAGCCACTTCGACAACCCAAAGGTTGGAGTACCATGTAAGGAGACGATGGGGCGTAGAGGCACCCCCTGCTTGTGACCTTTGGTAGGCCGTAGAAGCGCGCCATCGCGGTATCACTGGCTTTGGCGGCCAACGCCTCCCTTCTCGTAAGAGCTCCCGCCTTCCTCAGCTTGCCGATCGTATTGTTTATGCTGTTTACGAGCTTTTTAAACTCGCTGACGGTCGATGGCACATAAGCTTCCTTGTCCATCAAGAGGTTGCCTAGTTTTGTGCAGTACCCAGCCTTATCCATGACGACAGTCGAGCGCCCCTTGTCGGCGAGCAGGGTGACGATATCCTTCATTTTTCGTATCTTCAGGAGTTCTCGATCTTCTCCTTTAGAAATCGTCATCTGGCGTTTGTGTTGGATGAGTAAGGTCGACACTTCTTGTCGCATGGAGTTCTTGCACTCCTCGCCTGCCTCACACTTCTGGAGCGCCGATTCAAAGGATGCAATAAAGTCTTCTGGTCGAGCATCTCTTGTGCTGAACTTCGCGTCATAGGATAGAACCGCTAGTTGTTGCTGAGTGAAACGATGAGAGGACAAGTTGTGAACCAAGGCACCGTCAGTATAGGGCTGCTTTGGCAGACTTATTTGCTCAAATTTTCCAGACAACTGGTCATCACGCAACTTGCGGTGACGCCGTACGTTGTCGAGAATTGCCGCTTTGAGGATCCCCAGCTCGTGTGCCGTAAAGATCGACTGGCAAGTTGACGAATTATGTTCAATCATTTGGCGGTACTTGTGGATGCGGGCGTGGCAGTCTCGTATCAGTACCCTGATCATCTTCTTCTTGAAGTCTGCCATCGTCCGTCAGCAAAGGTCAGTGTTCACAGGCGGTCTATATTTCAGGCATTTCGGTAAGAAGTCCTCATCAAGGCACCTGTGAAGGAATTTCAGCTGAGCGTAGGTGGAGGACTCCCGCTTCGCGAAGGTCTCCCATCTGCGTGCTGAGCGGAGGGCTGTGCGCCCATAACATACATCGATATGCGTAAAGATTCGTAAAGATTCGCCTGAACAGCAGCGAGCGATCAGTCCACCGGCTGACGTGGGAGAGGCCAAGCGGCACGTTGATTTGACCACAATTACGTCCACCCCAAAGGGAACAAAGGTCACGCAGGCCTGTCAGCGGTCAGCCCCGGGGAGGTCTATGCCAGTCAGCGGCAAACAGGCAGGTCAAAATTCGTGCATCGAGCACAGCTATAATACGAGGCAGGCGGCAAGACTGAACAACTCAAGACCGGCAAGTGCAACAATTACGCTACTCTGATGATGGAAACGAGGAAGGTTCCGAAACGTCAGTTCGAATACAATATGGTCCATGAATTTGCCCTCTCTTCATCTTCATCTTCCTCGGGAGATGATGAACGCGATATATATATATATGTATGGAAGAAGGTAAAGAGATCTCTGGGGAGGATGATTTATTCATCTGACGTTTCAAACTCATACGGGCCCATGGCTCAATGGTAGAGCGTCAAGGGATACTGGAATGGCCCTTTCTGGCTTGTTAGCCGTCGTCAGCCAACCATACCCAAGCCCGAAGTGTGGAACACCCGAGCCTCGAACTCGCGACCTGTTGGTTTAGAAGTCTACGCCTCTACCCATTGAGCCGCGAGCCCGTTGCCTTGTCGGTTTTCGATCGGGAATATACGGAACGAGTGAGTTCCGTATGAACGATCGGTGAGCGCCCCCTACCACTGTGCATTCCCGATCAAAAACCGACAAGGCAACGGGCTCGCGGCTCAATGGGTAGAGGCGTAGACTTCTAAACCAACAGGTCGCGAGTTCGAGGCTCGGGTGTTCCACACTTCGGGCTTGGGTATGGCTGGCTGACGACGGCTAACAAGCCAGAAAGGGCCATTCCAGTATCCCTTGTCTTTGTCCGTAATACCATTCTGCCTATATATCATGCGCCGCTGTGCGGCTGCTGGTTGGGCTCGAGAGAGAGAGAGAGCCCTTAAGGCACAGCGGAACGAGTGAGTTCCGTATGAACGACCGGTGAGCGCCCCCTACCACTGTGTATTCCCGATCAAAAACCGACAGGGCAACGGGCTCGTGGCCCGGTGGTTAGAGGCGTGGACTTCTAAACCAACAGGTCGCGAGTTCGAGGCTCGGGTGTTCCACACTTCGGGCTTGGGTATGGCTGGCTGACGACGGCTAATAAGCCAGAAATGGCCATTCCAGTCTCCTTTGTCTTTGTCGGTAATACCATTCTGCATATATATATATGATAAGGTGATACCGACACAGACAAGGGAGACCGGAATGGCCATTTCTGGCTTATTAGCCGTCATCAACCGGTCATACCCAACCCCAAGTGTGGATCACTTGAGATTCGAACCCGGGATCTTTGGTCATGGAGTTTGACGCTCTACCATTGAGCCACGAGCCCGTTGTCCTGTCGGTTGTGATCGGGAATATCAATTATGACAGATGGGCGCTCACCGATCAGGTTACAGAACATGCTCGTTCTGTTGTGCCTTGGGGCTCGTACTTAAACCCTCGCAGGCAGTCGCACGGCGACTAGTCATATATGTTGATAAGGTGATACCGACAAAGACAAGCGTGTTCTTTGACCTGATCGGTGAGCGCCCATCTGTCATACTTGATATTCCCGATCACAACCGACAGGACAACGGGCCCGTGGCTCAATGATAAGGTGATAAGGTGATATCGACAAAGACGAGCATGATCAGTAACCTGATCGGTGAGCGCCCATCTGTCATAATTGATATTCCCGATCAAAACCGACAGGACAACGGGCCCGTGGCTCAATGGTAGAGCGTTCAACTCCATGACCAAAGATCCCGGGTTCGAATCTCAAGTGATCCACACTTGGGGTTGGGTATGACTGGCTGATGACGGCTAATAAGCCAGAAATGGCCATTCCAGTCTCCCTTGTCTTTGTCGGTAATAGCATTCTGCCTATATATAGATATATATATTCGCTTCGGGAAGCCAATGGATCGGTGTGCGTCCATTCCTCAATGAATAAACACCCGATCTGCAGCGACAGAGAATGGCAGGTTGCGAGGTACTGATGAACTTCGGTTCGATGAATCGCTTATGACCCATCTTGTAGACCCCAGTGGTGGACCAGCTGCGCCAGGTGCGTCTGTGCGCATGTTTGTGTTTCCGGTCCCAGCTGGTGGTCAGGGTTATGGTTGGCTGAATGAAGGCAAACAAGCCCGAAACAGTGCTGTATCAATCTACCCCCCAGACTCGGTCGTATCCGCTCTGATATATATATATATATATATATATGAGATGGAGCCGACAAAGACAATGGAGATCGGAATGGCCATTTCTGGCTTATTAGCCGTCATCAGCCAGTCATACCCAACCCCAAGTGTGGATCACTTGAGATTTGAACCCGGGATCTTTGGTCATGGAGTTGAACGCTCTACCATTGAGCCACGGTCCCGTTGTCCTGTCGGTTGTGATCGGGAATATTAATTATGATAGTGGGCGCTCACCGGTCTGGTTACGGAACATGCTCGTTCCGTTGTGCCTTGGGGCTCTTACTAGAACCCTCGCAGGCAGTCGCACAGCGGCTAGTAGTAGACATAGATGAGATGGAGCCGACAAAGACAAGGGAGACCGGAATGGCCATTTCTGGTTTATTAGCCGTCATCAGCCAGTCATACCCAACCCAAAGTGTGGATCACTTGAGATTCGAACCCGGGATCTTTGGTCATGGAGTTTGACGCTCTGCCATTGAGCCACGGGCTCGTTATCCATGTCTACTACTAGTCGCTGTGCGACTGCCTGCGAAGGTTCTAGTATGAGCCCCAAGGCACAACGGAACGAGCATGTTCCGTAACCTGATCGGTGAGCGCCCACTATCATAACTAATATTCCCGATCACAACCGACAGGACAACGGGCCCGTGGCTCAATGGTAGAGCGTCAAACTCCATGACCAAAGATTCCGGGTTCGAATCTCAATTGATCCACACTTGGGGTTGGGTATGAGTGGCTGATGACGGCTAATAAGCCAGAAATGGCCATTCCGGTCTCCCTTGTCTTTGTCGGCTCCATCTCATATAGATATATATATCTGTTGAATAACCGATGTGGTGTGCATTCCGAGGTGCAATAATGAAAAAGAGATTGCTCTTCGGACAATCGATTTGTACTCGTACATTTTCAAGTCGGTGACACCGACACGTCGTCAGACGAAATGAACAGTGGGGAAAGTGAACTCGGCAGACTAGATCGGCTGGCGCGACAGGAAAGACAGCAACAAACAGATAGCTGATGCTTGAGAGGGGTTGGACACCGAGTTATGGTGGGCTGTGCGGCAGGGGAAGAGAAGGTAGGACCATTAGGGTTCCCTGTGTTGGAGGTGAAGAAAACTGGCGGAATTTCGGATCAGTGGGAATGAAGGCGGCTGGTCACTGATGCGGGATAAGGTCAGGGGCAATGCGCCGGCGTTGGATGTGTTAGGGTTTCGGTTGTTGTTCACTGTGTTGCAAGGGGGGCGGAATGGGGAAACACCATACGTCTATATGGCCGAGTGGTAGTTAGCAGTTGTTAGGGTGTGGGAACAAAACAGTGAGCGTGTACGTAAGCCTTCGTAGTGAGCCTCCAGATCGGCGTGGCGGTTGATGCTGGCCGTGCCAGAATGCCAAGCTTCGAGGAATTCTAGCGCCTGTCTGGTGTTAGCCCTTGCGATCACTTCAGTACCGTCCAAATTGAAGTGTGGTCGTGCTCAAGGGCGTGCGCAGACAGGAGAGACGGAGGGTCACGTCCTCAGAGAGCTAACTTGTGGTCGTTAATGGGAGTCCCAAGACATCGGCCTGTATGGCCAATAAAAACACAAGGGCAGTTTGTGTACGAGATGCGGTAGATGACGTTAGTTAGTTGTTCTTTGAGCACCAGGTCCTTTACTCGCATAATGCCTCGTGTGGGGGAGATGCGAGCTTGTGGGCAATGGAGATGCCAAAGCGTTTTAATTGTCGGGAGAGTGTTTCAGAAATTCCCTGAATGTACGGCAGTGAATAGAATTTCCGCGACACTATCTCCATTAGATTCGGGGCTTTGTGGTTGTCTCTGGCGTCTGAGACAGTTTTTTTACAAAACTGGAAGGGAATCTATTGGACCGGAATAACCGATGTATGTAGGTCAAGTCTTTCTTAAGTAAGTCATCACTGTTGCAGATGCGGTAGGCTAGGAAAGAGTGCGGACACAATTTCGCTTATGGACCTCAGGATGATTGCCCCAGTAGTTAAGTAGTTAAGTATGATTTCGACACTGGAGTCTTTTCGGTGGACGCTTGTTGTTAGTTTGCCATTGCTAAGTCTTCTTATACTCAAATCTAAGAACGGGAGGGTATCTCCTGCTCCTTATTCGCGAGTAAACTGTAGAGCAGGGAAGACGCTATTTAAGTTCTGGTGAAATCACTCAACTTCGCTGGTCTTTATGATGACAAATGTGTCGTCCACGTAGCGAAGCCACATTTTGGGTTCGAAGGTTTGCACAGCATCTTTTTCTAGTCGCTTTAAGCCTAGTTTTGCAAGCAGCCCCAATATTGGCGAGCCCATTGGAGTGCCCCTTACTTGTTGGTAGTACTTGTCGTCGAACTGACAATAATTCGTGGGGCAAAGCTTAAGCATGTCTAGAACATGCCGTGTTGGAATGACAATGGGAGTTTGCTCTAGACATGGAGTTACGCTGTCAATTGCTAGGTCATGTGGTATTGAAGAAAACAGGACAACAACATCAAAAGATAGGATGCATTCGTCAGGACTTACCTCAGGGCTTTGGATATTTTGTAGGAAAGCCTGAGCACTTTTGATGCTG